GTCTCCCATCTTTTTTTGGAAAGGACAAGTCCCTAGTCTTGAAAGCAAAATTCCGATATTTTTCTTTGAGAAATCTCGCAAAATTGCCAAGTAAAAAAAACAATTTATTTAGGGGTTGAATCCCAATTCATACATTTAAAAAATACCTCCAGGAAAAGCCCCTGGCTTAGTATTATATATATATACACATATATTATTAGGTTTACTCATTTTGGGGTCCTCGTCAAGGCTTCTTTTATGCAACAGGGATATTAGGGGGACCTGATTTGATTATAAACCCCTAATTTGGGATACTTGGAATATTAAGGGGATCTGACCTCAACATTAAGGATATTTGGAATGGAAGATGTCGGAATTTCACAGCTGAAAAATTCTGATCCAACTAAGGGGGCATGTTCATGGCGCCAAGTTTGAATCAACAAATGGTAAAATTGGCATATCCCATTCAGAATCAATCACTAAATATCAATGATTCACCATTTATCAACCATAAAGTTCCCCTAAAAAATCCCCATAAATCACAACAACGCCTCATCACTTTTTGCAGAGCAACCACGTGGCGGTCAGCGTCAAGCTGGGAACCTCTCATCCCGTGCAGGCAAAAGAAAGCAATGAAGCACGCCAGTGTCACGTTCAGGGACAAACTGCGCGTCATCCTGTACACTGTACAACTAAGACGGGAGCGTCCCAGTGTCGCATTACTAGAATCAACCTGATCCCGGTACAAAATTCTGAATGATCATCATCTCAGGGTTGTGGCACATCCTTGTTTTCATCCAATGGCAAGTCTCCACAATCCATCGCTCCGCACCTTGACGAGTCCCCACTAAAAGGACCCTCGTGAGGTCACCATGCAGGGACTTGTGGCAGAAGCGACTCTCGAAAGGAAACTTCGCCTCTTTCAGGACGTCCGTTCCAATGGATTCAAAGTCGTGGCAGGACGAAAGAACATTGGTCACGTTCAAAGGGATCGATTTCTTGACACGGAGGCACTGGCTGAATAAAGAAAGCGGGGTGCTGATACAGAAGAAAGCGGGGTGTGATTCATTTCCGGAGGCATTGGCCAGATTTTTTTCCGTGCAAATGCCTGCCGCTGAATTCCAGCCGATATGGCCGAGGCGGCGGGGCCATGTGGTGTACATACTGAGGTCCATCCACCCGCCACGAAGAGTGTGATTGTAGCCGTTCATGAGTTCTTCTTCACTGCAATTGGGAGGCTCAGGCAAATGGTAGCCAGCGGCAAAGGCGCTCAACAGGAGGGTGGTGAAGAGCATCATGGGCAATGGCGGGGAACAATCTACTTTGATTGCTCAGGACTGGGGATACCTAAATCCACCATTTGGGAAGAATATAGCAATAGCATCTTCGCATATGAACATGACATGGTGCAACATGACACACGCACATGCAACTGCGAGAAGAAACCCTTCTCTATCTACATATACATCTCCTTACATCCATATCTACTTACACATGTACTATGGCTTTGCCCATCTTCCACCCTGCTGGGAGGGGGTGTTTGTTTGTTTGGCTGCTGTTGCTGTTGCTGTTGCTGTTGCTGTTGCTGTTGCTGTTGCTGTTGCTGTTGCTGTTGCTGTTGCTGTTGTTGTTGTTGTTGTTGGGGTATGGGAGGGGGAGGCGTCTGAGAATGGAGCGCGTGAGAGGAAATAATGTAGTTGCTGTTTTTTCTTTTTAACAAAAAACAAAGCAAACAACAATTTCATAACAATATTTTGAGAATATTGTTATGAAATCATTTTGGCAACATATTTATTAGCAATTTCCCCCTTTATCATCTTTTACGATATGATAATAGCCTAGTCTTGGCTACGGGTTCTTTATCTTCCCAGAGTTTACCATCTCAAAGTACTGCGTTTCATCACCAGAAAAAATCGCATCATTTCCAGAAAAAAAAAAAACATCGCCCAGTTCCCTTTGTGGCTAAAATTCCATCCTGCACCCAGCGGCCAATTCGAAGTTCAGCCGTGTGCCAATCAGCTCCAACTCCCGCACCTTGCGAAAGATCGGGCTGCGAAAGGAGGTCCCTAATGGTCCCCAAAATTTTTAGCCCTTCGACTGGGCGAATGACCCCAATGGTGGTGAAAATGGTGGTTTAATGGTGGTTAATGGTGGCTTAATGGTGGTTAATGGATTATGACTATAATCAGGATTAACGGGGATATGAATGGGTTTAACAACTACCATGATCAGTGAATGTTACGGGATTTAACCACCAAATGGGGATATGAATGGATGCTAATCTGGTTGGTGGTGATACCTACCCCTCTGAAAAATACATAAAAATTAGGATGATGATTCCCAATAGAGGGAAAAATAATCCAAATGTTCCAAACCACCAACCAGTAACTTATGACCGTTATGACATGTTATGTATGACTATAACTTATAAATAACCTCATTCAAATGATGTGTTTTTCCAGTTGCAGGAGTTACTGTATAAGCCCAAGGGCCATAATTGTACAAATATGTACTGGTGCCATTTACGAATGGTTTTATCATTGGTTTTAGGTTTGTCTAAAAACACACCGATAAAATCCTGGTGGTTTAGGTTTAATCTTGAATTTCGGAATCATGCGTTTATTGGGGGATGTTATATATGGCTACCTTTCCAAAAACAACTTCATGACTTTCACTGTGAATGGTATTTCAAAGAAGGGCTGTTGCGGGCGCATGCCCAAAAATATTTTTGCAGATGATAGCATAGTTTCCCCATGTTTCACCCACCATTCTCTTAACCCAAAGGTCGCATACAGACCCGGCTTACCGAGACATCCGTCAAAATCATGCTGTTTTTCAGCCCATTATTGGTACTATGTCCGAGATGCGGATTCGCAACCATTGATGTTTCTTTTCCATTGAACTAATTATACGGTAACTACTGTATACATATGCATACAGCATACAATGATAAAGTTCATATATACCCTCTGGTAATTTAACCTAGCTATTGAAAATCACCATATTTAATGCGTATATCATATCATATTCTATATATATATATGACCATTTTCCATAGCTATGTTAGTTTACCAGAGGTTACCCACCAGTAAACTAACATTGCTATGGGAAATCACCATGTTTCATGTGTACATCATCGAACTACCATTCAGCCACAGCCAGTTTCAGCCACTGTTCAGCCGAGCGTCGGTGGCGCGGAAACCAAGCCTGCAACCCCCCAAGGTTTTGGTCTGTCTGCAAATGGGTTCGGCATACCCCGATACCGCAATAAATTGAGAGGGCAAATGATTTTCACCAGTGGATTTTGAGGGACCATATTTTCAGAAAAACCCATCGGTATCAATGAGTGCTGCAGAATATCTGGGTGAAAAGATATTGACGATCCATTGCAATCTGTCGACAGTCGGAGGAAATCGCTCTTTCAAATGGTAAGAAAACGATGGTTTCTAGCAAAATCAGCAAATTTTGAGCCAAGATGTCTAACTGCACTTTTCATACTTGAGTTCTTCTGCTGGTCTAAAAGCGCAGGTTGGCAAACAAAACACAATCACCCAGCAAATCCCACAGAATTCATCAAAACTTCTCTAGATTTCCCGCCATCCTGCAAATGTGTTTTTTAATCAACCAAGAACCCCTTCTGGTAAAAATTAACAGTTGGACCCTGAGAATAGCCATTTTGTTGATACTAGTCTTCCAACCCCGATGACAGGGTCTATGTTAATTTACTGGGTATATCAAACAACCATTTCTGCCCAGCGCCCTCGCCTGCCAGACGCCTCCGGTGATTTCAAGTCCTCACGAACAGAATGTGTCTATGGCCTAAATTTCAGCCACAGCCATTCTTTTTAAAATGATCAAAGTATATCTAAGTCATCTAAGTCAGCTAAACATATATATATATTTATTTATTCAAAGATCATCCAATATCCTATATATATAGTATTCTGTTGTTCCATGCAGAGCTTTCCATCCGGTTACACCATGACGCAACCAAACCAAGGTCAGCTGGCTGTTGCTAAAAATCCCTAGCTTTGATGGAGAAATGTACCATTTCCGTTGGCAAAATCCCATGTCTGTGTTGCTTAGAGACGTCCAGATGTGCGTTGCATAAATTCCAATTTTGCTTACTTGAATACCAGTTGTTTGTTGGTCAAATCGTGTTTTTGTTGGTTAAATCATATTAAATCCCAATCTTGGGTACAAGTCCCATTGTCACTTTATTGAACGGTTAATTAATTAACCCATTCTCATTTCTAATGTTTCTTATTTAAAGATTCGTCCCAATGATGACCTGAATATAAATCCCAACATTTCATCAAATTCCAATTCTTCACTAGTAAACCCCATTTTTCTACCAATTGTATTTTTTTTCGAAACCATATTTTGGTGACTCAGTTTTGGATATATATCAACCCCCCAGTTATCATTTCATCGTTCCTGCGCAGTGCGCACCAACACTCCACCCGCACAGCGGCCACCTGCTACAGAAGACAGAGTGAGGTGATGTGACCCTCTTGTAAACGTACAAAAAGAGGAAACCCGATGGTTTTTGTAGGGGAAAATCATCTACAAATGGTAGATTAGAGAAAAATCTACATTCATATTGGGTGTTCCACATCGAACTGTTAGTTTGGTAGGGTAATTGTCTTAATTATATGATTTATATTTGAAATAAGTAGATAATCAGATGTTCATTGATAATGTTAGTCAATGAAATCATGTGATGTTTTACCATTGTTTAGTGACTGTGGTCGATGGTAGATGGGATGATGTTGGTGAATAACAGCCAAACTCTTGAATGATCATTTAGTAACCATCACTCAGTACTAATTGTATCACCGCCAGTTTCCTAGTGGATGAATCATGGCCAACGATCATCAATAATCACATAACATCATAGGACCCAATTTTGGGATTCCAGAGGTGCATGGGAAACCATGGTTGTCCACATTTTTTTGTTCAGCAATTCACCGTGAAAGGACACATCGCCATCTGTGCCATGTCAAGTTACATGGGATTAACAGTTTCTATAACCATCCATCGCACAATGGGAATCGTCAAAAAACGGATATATAATCCCTATTTGATGACCATCACATCTGGATAAACAAACCATGTTTTACCGATGGCAGTTCCACCGGCCCGCCCCCGGTGTCGCACCTATGACTTCCCAAGTGCCTCAGGCAGATTTGGCTTAAATTTGCCATGGGGACATACGCCAAGTGTTTTTGAACATGGCCGCTGGGAAATTCCCACTCTGCACCAAAGCCTCCCCGACCTTCTCCGGAACCCTATTGAACCTGACTTGGCTTTGCACCAAGGCGTCCTGGAGCCTTCTCCGGAACTTTCTCCGGAACCCTGTTGAACCTCTCCCGGCTCTGCACCAAAGCCTCCCAGACCTTCCCCGGAACCTTCCGGAACCTTGTCCGGAACCCTGTTTAACGTGACGCGGCTCTACACAAAAGCCTCTTGGACCTTCTCCGGAACCTTCGGAACCTTCTCCGGAACCTCGTTGAACCTGACCCGGCGCCTGGACCAGTGCACACCGGAGCTGTTCTGGGCTGAAGACCCCATTAGCTTACGCTGTTGGGGAAAAATTATCTTGTAATTGTTTTTCGCACTTCGCACTTACAGTGCTTTGCATCATTGTATCACTCAAAAAACACTAAAAAAAACCTTGGGAAAAAATATCTGGAGACTGTTGGCAAAACCCCCAAAAAAAAATGAAAAAACTTGGAAAAAAAACAAAAAAAACTCTGTTTGGAGACTCTTGGCGAGAACCCCCCATCCAGCAAGACATCTGGATTTGTTTAAAAGTTTGTTTGGTTTTTCAATTTTCTGGCCCCCACGGCCTCCCTGGAAAAATGCATATTTTTGTTCAATGTTTTTTTGTTTTTCGATTTTCTGGTTCCCAAAACTTATGTTTTTTTCCTATAGTAAGCCCTTTTTACATAATGTCACTGCTTATTTTTCTTGCACAAAAACAATATAAGCCCGCGTCAATACAAAACATGCCGAAGTAATGTCAACTATTTGACCTCTTCGAAAACGATGTCACACGCACAAACACTGCCTGCTGCATTACACAACTTGACATTGCACCGCATCCTGATGCAAAACTATAAGGCCTCTTGTGAAAGGATGAAACATTTTTTGTGTTGGATTATTTTGTGTTGGAAACGCTTTCTTTTCAAAATATCTCCGCTGATACACCGCCATATATCAAAGGTCTGCTTGCGGCTCGACGGCATAAGTTGCGTGCCTGGCTACTGAAGCCAAGAACTCCTGCCCCAGCCCCGGCTGCATGGAATCGAGGAGGTAAATCTTGCCGTCTCCGCCC